CCCAGGGGTTTTACCCCAGAGCTTAAAAGGCGTTATCCCCAGAGTTTTAACACATTTTTTTTTCCCCCAGAGCTTTACCCCCAGAGTTTATCCCCAGAGCTTTATCCCCAGAGCTTTATCCCCAGAGCTTTATCCCCAGAGCGTTATCCCCAGAGTGTTATCCCCAGAGCTTTACACACAGAGCTTTATCCCCAGAGCTTTACACCAGAGCTTTATCCCCAGAGCGTTATCCCCAGAGCGTTACCCAGAGGTTATCCCCGGGAGCTTTTTTATCCCCAGAGCTTTACACACAGAGCGTTATCCCCAGAGCGTTATCCCCAGAGCTTTATCCCAGAGGGGGATCCCCAGAGCTTACAACAGGGGTTTTACCCAGAGTTTTACCAAGAGCTTTATCCCCAGGCGTTATCCCGGGTTTTTACCCCCAGAGTTTATCCCGAGTTTTACCCCCAGAGTTTTACCCCCAGGGTTACCCCCAGAGCTTTATCCCCAGAGGTTCCCAGAGCTTTACACAAGATTTTACCCCCAGAGCTTTACACCAAGTTTACCCCCAGAGGTTATCCCAGGCGTTCCCCCCAGGGGTTTTCCCCCAAGCTTTTATCCCAGAGCTTTACAAAAGGTTTTATCCCAGAGCTTTACAACAGAGTTTATCCCCAGGCTTTACACACAGAGCTTTTCCCCCAGAGCTTTAACACAGAGTTTTACCCCCAGAGCTTTACCCCCAGAGCTTATCCCCGATTTACCCCAGACTTACCCCCAGGCTTTATCCCCGAGCTTTTCCCCGAGCTTTACCCCCGAGTTTTATCCCCAGAGCTTTTCCCCCAGAGTTTATCCCAGGTTTTACCCCCAGAGTTTTCCCAGATTTTTACACACAGAGGTTACCCCCAGGGGCTATCCCAGAGCTTTTCCCCCAGGCTTTATCCCCAGAGCTTTATCCCAGAGGTTACCCCCAGGGGTTTTTCCCAAGAGCTTTACACACAGAGTTTTATCCCAAGTTTTTGTGGGAAAAATAACCCTATTTATTCAAATAAGGTCTTACAGAGTTTTTTGCATCAAGAAAGACTGATTAAAGTTTTCAAAAAAAGCTGATACCAGTCTCAGATGGCACCCCCCCTTAGGTCTCCCTCCATTTATATGTCCTTTTCTTTTTTCCCCCTCTTTTATTGCACCCCTTTGTTCTGAGAGGGGCTAAACCAACTTTTTTAAGTTCAGAGTCCCAAAATCAACATCTTATCTGAAAAAACACTTGTTTATTTTCAACTCTTGATCACCCGGGCTTTTTCACGTTTTGAAGAAAAAAAAACAAAGGGCCCAAGCCAGTTTCAGTCTTTGATGATAAGGAAACCATGGATCTAAGAAAGAAAAAAGAAATCGCCCCTAGGGGGGTTTCCCTCTTACTCACCACACAGTGAAATAAATGACCAAAAATCCGGGCCCAGAACAAAGAATGTAACTTATGTTTTGATTAACCCAGTTCTACCTCATAACCATTAAAAATTACAGTTCTTAAAATAATTTACCCCCCTTTTCACACAGCGCTTTCCCCCAAACTTTTCACACAGCAAGTAGGATTTCAAAATGAAATGATCCCTTTATCAGAACGAGGGTCCAAAATTGTGGAAGACCCTCAGCAAAGTTTTTTAGCTACAAAGTTTGTGATGTGAGGGGGGAAGTGCTCTCTTGGAGGACGATGAAGTCTGTAAAGAAGGAGGGGGCCATTGGTGGGGGGGAGTGGGTAGGAGTGGGGGGAACATTACATTGTACCACACAAACCCCTCGTTTTAAAACCCGTCCCGAAACGTATCAAAATCCCCGCCCCCAACACGTGGGATTGAATGGAGTAATGTTATGATGATTTGGGGGTGGGTCTTGGGCATTTTAGCAAGGGTAGTATGAAAAACCCCTTTGGCATACGTTGGTTTCCCCGTGGTGTATTTCACCACAACCCCTCTGTGTTTTTCATTGGTTCCTAGTGGTTTTATTGGGACACACCCCCCCGTGTTTTCTGTTTTGGGTTCCCCGGGTGATTGCAAAACCCCCCCCCGTTTTACTGTGGGGTTTTTCCCGTGGTTTATTGACCAACCCCCTGTGTTTCATTTGGTTTCCCCGGGTTGGGATTTCCCCACCCCCCTTTTGTGTTTACATGGTTTTTTAGTGGTGTATTTCACCCCCCCCCCTCTTGGTTTTCTATTTGGTTTCTAGTGGTTGTATTGCACCACACCCCCTCGGTTTATATTGGTTTTTTAGTGGTTTTATTGCCACCCCCCCCCCTGGTTTTCATGGTTTTCCCCCTGGTTGTATTGCACCCAAACCCCCTGGTTGGTTGGTTTCCTAGTGGTTGTATTGCACCACACCCCCCCGGTTTTTATTTGGGTTTCTAGTGGGTTTTTTGCACAACCCCCTTGTGTTTACATTGGTTCCCAGTGGTGATTTACCAACCCCCTCGGGGTTAGTTGGGTTTTCCCAGGGTTGTATTGTACCAAAACCCCCCCGTGTTTTCTATGGTTTCCCAGTGGTTGTATTGACCACACCCCCTCTTGGGGGTTTTTATTGGTTTTTCCTAGTGGTTGTATTGTACCACACCCCCTCTGTGTTTACTATTGGTTTCCTAGTGGTTGTATTGCACCACACCCCCTCTGTGTTTACTATTGGTTTCCTAGTGGTTGTATTGCACCACACCCCCTCTGTGTTTACTATTGGTTTCCCAGTGGTTGTATTGCACCACACCCCCTCTGTGTTTACTATTGGTTTCCCATTGGTTGTATTGCACCACACCCCCCCTTTTGTTTAGTTGGTTCCCCTTGGTTGATTGCACCACACCCCCCTGTGTTTTCTATTTGGGTTTTCCCAGTGGTGTATTTCACCACCCCCCTCTGGTTTACTGGGTTTCCTGGGTTGTATTGCCACCCCCCTCTGTGTTTTTTGGTTTCCCCGGGTTGTATTGCAAACCCCCCCCCTTGTGTTTATATTGGTTCCCCGGGTTGTATTGCGCCCACCCCCCGTGTTTATATTGGTTTTCCCCGTGGTTTTATTCGCCCACCCCCCCCTGTGTTATGTTGGTTCTTTGTGGTTTTTTGCACCACCCCCTCTGTGTTACTGTTTGGTTTTAGTGGTTGTATTTCACCACACCCCCCCTGGTTTATATTTGGTTTCCGTGGTGTATTGTACCACACGGGGCCACTTGACACCCCTTTTAACACCCCTATTTTTCCAGGAGTTTGCGTTTTACGTTTATTTTTGAATTTACTGGTTTTTAGACTAATTTAGGATTTACTTATGAGGTAACGAAAAACTTTAGTAATGCCCCTTTCTTCATGGCCGTTTTTAAATGGTGTCCTGTCGCCGTTTTAAAAGCCCCTTTGTAACCCGGGGCACAAAATCATGAATCCCCCCAAAAAATAGAGAGAGTCCCCTGCCGAAGCTACAGGGGAGTCCATAAGTAGCACCCTGGTTGAAACAGAGGTGACAATGGGGAAACTTTAACATTTTGTTAGTCCCTAGAGCTCAGCACCGGCGAAAACCAGAGGCTGACAATGGGCAGCTTAACTATTTTTGTTGTCCAAGGCTCAGCACCCCGGTTGAACCAGAGGTGAAAAGGGGCAGCTTTAAATATTTTGTTGTCCCAAAGCTCAGACCCGGTCTGAACAGGGTGACAAGGGGGAAGCTTTAACTACTTTGTTTGCCATAGAGTCAGCACCATGGGTTTAACCAGAGGTGACAATGGGACAGCTTAACTATTGGTTTGTCCATAGAGCTCAGCACCCGGTCTGAACCCGAGGCGACAAGGGGAAAGCTTTTAAACTTCTGTTTGTCCAAAAGAGCTCAGCACCTGGTCGAAACCCGAGGTGACAATGGACAGCTTAACTATTTTGTTAGTCCAAGAGCTCGCACCCTGGTCGAACAGAGGTGACAATGGGACAGCTTTAAATTTGTTGCCCAAAAGGGTCACACCTGGCGAAAACCCGAGGCTGACAAGGGACAGCTTTAACTACTTTGTTTGTCCATAGAGCTCCACCCTGGCGAACAAAAGGCTGACAATGGGGCAGCTTTAAACTTCTGTTGTCCATAGAGTAGCACCCGGTCTGAACCCGAGGTGAAATGGGACGCTTTTTAATATTTTGTTAGTCCATAGGTCAGCACCCTGGGCTGAACCGAGGCTGACAAGGACGCTTTTAAATATTTTGTTAGTCCATAGAGCTCAGCACCCTGGTCTGAACCAGAGGCTGACAATGGGACAGCTTTAACTACTTCTGTTAGTCCATAGAGCTCAGCACCCTGGTCTGAACCAGAGGCTGACAAGGGACAGTTTAAAACTTTTTTTAGTCCATAATCAGCACCCCGGTCTGAACCCGAGGTAACAATGGGAAGTTTAATACTTTTTTATCCATAGGTCAGCACCTGTCGAAAAGAGGTACAAGGGACAGTTTTAAATACTTTTGTTTTGTCCAAGGCCGCACCCTGGTCGAACCAGAGGCTGACAATGGAAGCTTAAATACTTTTGTTGTCCATAGAGCTCAGCACCCTGGTTGAACCAGAGGTGACAATGGGCAGTTTAACTACTTTGTTGCCCTGAGTCAGCACCCTGGTTGAACCGAGGTAACAATGGGACAGTTTAATACTTTGTAGTCCATGAGTCAGCACCCTGGGCTGCCAGAGGGACAATCGGACAGCTTTAACTTCGTTAGTCCATAGAGCTCGCACCCTGGTCTGAACCAGAGGGACAAAGGGAAACTTAACTACTTTTGTTGCCAAGGCTCAGACCCCGGTTGAACCCGGGTGACAAGGGGAAACTTTAACTATTCTGTTAGTCCAAAAGTCAGACCCCGGTCTGAAACCAGAGGGACAATGGGACAGTTTTCTACTTTTGTTAGTCCCTGAGCCAGCACCCTGGTCTAAACCGAGGGTGAAATGGGAAGTTTTAAATACTTCGTTTGTAAAAAGCTCAGCACCCTGGTCTGAACCAGGGCGCAAGGGCAGCTTTTAAATACTTTGTTTGTCCCTAGAGCCCGCACCCTGGTTGAACCCGAGGTGACAAGGGACAGCTTTAAAAACTTTTTAGTCCAAAGCTCGCACCCCGGGCGAAAAAAGAGGCTGACAAGGGACAGCTTTAACATTTGTTAGTCCATAGAGCTCAGCACCCCGGTTGAACCCCGAGGGACAAGGGGGAGCTTTAAATATTTTGTTAGTCCATAGGCTCGCACCCCGGTCTGAACAGAGGGGGTGAAATGGGACAGCTTTTTAATACTTTGTTGTCATAGAGTCAGCACCCTGGTCGAACCCGAGGCTGAAAAGGGACAGCTTTAACTACTCGTTGTCCCAAAAGGGTCAGACCCGGTCTGAACCAGAGGTGACAATGGGACAGTTTAACTCTTCTGTGTCCCCTAGAGTCAGCACCCCGGGGAAAACCGAGGCTGAAAATCGGACGCTTTAAATATTTTGTTAGTCCCTAGAGCTCAGCCCCTGGGGGAACCAAAGGGTGAAATGGGGGCAGCTTTAACTACTTCTGTTAGTCCATAGAGCTCAGCACCCTGGTCTGAACCAGAGGCTAACAATGGGACAGCTTTAACTACTTCGTTAGTCCATAGAGCTCAGCACCCTGGTTAAAAAAAAAGGTGACAAGGGACAGCTTTAAAAAATTTGTTTGTCCATAGAGCTCCACCTGGGCTGAAAACCCGAGGGGACAAGGGACAGCTTAACATTCTGTTTGTCCAAAAGCTCAGACCCCCGGTCGAACCAGAGGTGACAATGGGAAACTTTAACTACTTCGTTGTCCATAGATCAGCACCCTGGTTGAACCCAAAGGGAAAAATGGGGGGCAGCTTTTAAATTCTGTTTGTCCAAGAGTCAGCACCCGGTCGAACCAGAGGTGACTCGGACAGCTTTAACTATTCGTTTGTCCATAGGCTAGCACCTGGCTGAACCAGAGGGACAAGGGACGCTTTAATACTTGTTAGTCCAAAAGTCAGCACCCCGGTTTAACCAGGGCTAACAATGGGACAGCTTTTAATATTTGTTATCCATAGAGCCAGCACCCTGGTCTGAACAGAGGCTGACAATGGGACAAGCTTTAACTACTTCTGGTAGTCCCATAGAGCTCAGCCACCGGGTCTGAACCAAGCGACAATGGGACAGCTTTAACTACTTCTGTTAGTCCATAGAGCTCAGCACCCTGGTCTGAACCAGAGGCTGACAATGGGACAGCTTTAACTACTTCTGTTAGTCCATAGAGCTCAGCACCCTGGTCTGAACCAGAGGCTGACAATGGGACAGCTTTAACTACTTCTGTTAGTCCACAGAGCTCAGCACCCTGGTCTGAACCAGAGGCTGACAATCGGACAGCTTTAACTACTTCTGTTAGTCCATAGAGCTCAGCACCCTGGTCTGAACCAGAGGCTGACAATGGGACTGCTTTAAAACTACTTCTGTTAGTCCATAGAGCTCAGCACCCTGGTCTGAACCAAAGGCTGACAATGGGACAGCTTTAACTACTTCTGTTAGTCCATAGAGCTCAGCACCCTGTCTGACCAAGGCAACAATGGGACAAAACTTAACTACTTCTGTAGTCATAGAGCTCAATCACCCTGTCTAAAACCAGAGCTGACAATCGACAGCTTTACTACTTCGGTAGTCCATAGAGCTCAAGCAACACCCTGTCGAACCAGAGGCTTGACAAATGGGACAAGCTTTAACTACTTCTGTTAGTCCATATAGCTCAGCCCCGTCTGACCTAGCTTTACTGCGACAGCTTTAACTACTCTGTTAGTCCATAGAGCTCACACCCCTGGTCTAACCAGAGGCTGACATGGGACACTTTATTACTACTTCTGTTAGTCCATAAGCTCAGCACCCTGTCTAACCAGAGGCGACCATTGGACAGCGTTTAACTACTTCTGTTAGTCTAGAGCTCAAGCACCCGGTCTGAACCGAGCTGACACGGACACGCCTTTAACTATTCTGTTAGTCCATAGGCTCAGCACACTGGTCTGACCGAGGCTGACAATGGCATCTTTACTACTTCTGTTGTCCGTAGAGCTCAGCACCCTGGTCTGAACCATAGGTAACAATGGACACTTTAACTATTCTTGTTAGTCCATAGAGCTCATCACCCCTGGTCAACCAGAGCTGCAATGGCGCTTTACTACTTCTGTTTAGTCCACAGAGCTCAAGCCCCTGGTCTGATACCGGAGGCTGACAATGGACGCTTTAACTACTTCTGTTAGTCCGTAGAGCCACAACCCTGGTCCTGAACCAGAGGGCTGACAAGGGACAGCTGTAACTACTTCTGTTAGTCCACAGAGCTCACACCCTGGTCTAACCAGAGGGCTGTAATAACTTATCTGTTCTCCAACCACTCCGAACGTACAGGCACTGTCTATCCCGCACGTATTCGTCTACTGACAATGTATCATCCTTAACGGGCATTATTCATGGCAAAACCTACGTCTTCCTCCTGGTATGGCTTCCACGGGTCTCGTTGAATAACGTAGTCTTTCAATATGGACTACTTCTCAACAACTGAACGTACTAGTATACAAATGTCCACATCTCCCATAGCCACACAGACAAGTACAGACATAAACACCGTGTCGTAGGGACGTCCACTCCTGACCCTCATAGGGCTTCAGGTCAACCCCTAGTCCCTATGGAATGGTTAACCCGCCTAGGCACGGATGCCTGCGTGGTAGTCTAACCTTATATGGGGGGCTAGGCCCTCCTAGCGGCGTCCCATCTAACCTATATATGGGGGCTATGCCTTCCTAAGCAGGCAGTGCCGGCAGTGCCCAGTCTAACCTATATATGGGGGCTATACCTTCCTAAGCAGGCCGTGCCGGCCGTGCCCAGTCTAACCTATATATGGGGGCTATACCTTCCTAAGCAGGCCGTGCCGGCCGTGCCCAGTCTAACCTATCTATGGGGGCTATACCTTCTTAAGCAGGCCGTGCCGGCCGTGCCCAGTCTAACCTATATATGGGGGCTATACCTTCCTAAGCAGGCCGTGCCGGCCGTGCCCAGTCTAACCTATATATGGGTCTAGGCTGGGCTATGACCGGTTTGTGTATTTCCAGTGGGCCAACTGAATACATCCAGGCTTTCTAGGTCTGTTTCCCATAGTTTATATTCAGCCTATGACCCTCACCTCACCTAAGATGTCAGAATGGGTGGAAACGGGTATAGGAACTTTCTTACCTCGTTTTGTGTGCTGGCTCCTGTTCCACTGATTCGTCTCTTTATTTTAACTGAAAATGTGGTGATCCGCCGCAAAACGCCAATTGTTAAGGTTGGCCCCGTGTAGCTCAGTTGATAGAGCATGGCGCTTGCAACGCCAGGGTTGTGGGTTCGATTCCCACGGGGGGCCAGTATGAAAAATGTATGCACTCACTAACTGTAAGTCGCTCTGGATAAGAACTAAAATGTTCTGGTACAATATCCAGACGACCTCTGAGAAACTGAAGCTAGATTTATTCACCCACAAGTAGTGTTGCAGTTGCCAAGACCACGATACAGCTGCCAAGAACCCCCCCCCCCCCCCCCCCCCCTTTCCCAACTAGACTCCCCCTTCTGTGTCAAGGATGAACAATCAATCTCTTTTACTGGGCAGGTGGCAGGTATCGTGTCCCTGCTTGAGTCCGGAGAGGCCTTGAATACACATTCCTACAGTCTACTGCAGTCCACTACATAATTACCCTTCTGTCACGAGAATGTTGTCATCTCAATGGTTGAAGTCAACTACTTCTCAAGCTTTGAATAATTCCCAGAGTTGTAGGCTCTAGTTTAATAATGATTAAAACAAGTCCCATTTCTGTAATGACATCAGTTCTTCTTTATTCATGAGAGCTCTGCCCCAAAATGGGTGCACAGTCTTTTTATACTCTCTCACACACACCACACACACACCACACAACACACACACACACACACACACACACACACACACCACACACACACACACACACACACACACACACACAGACAAGTTCTTATCATAGGCTACTCCTTGCTCAGGCAGGCTGCATTTTTTCACTATTCCCATACATAGTTATCACGTTCTCAGAATATTCTGCCAGCCTCTCACTCCCCCTCCCTGTGTGGGGACATCTGTTTTTGAAACCGGTCTCCTGTTATTGGTCTCTACGTTTGCACTTCTGCTTGCCTAACTACAGGAGAACACAGTTGGGTGGTTGTTTTGAACTTTTAGTCATTTAACTTATATCATTTCTCTATCACCTTCTCATACACACAGAGAACACTACTTTCAATCTCCAAGAGTAAAAACTTCATATTCATACTAAGTTGATATAAAGCAGTAAAGATATAGAACAGTAATGGACCCCCCAAACCCCCTATCCCCATAACCCCTAACCCCCTAACCCCATAACCCCCTAACCCCATAATCCCATAACCCCATAACCCCCTAACCCCATAATCCCCTAACCCCATAACCCCCTAACCCCCCAACCCCCTAACCCCATAATCCCCTAACCCCCTAACCCCCTAACCCCATAACACCATATCCCCCTATCCCCATAACCCCCTAACCCCCTAACCCCCTAACCCCATAACCCCATAACCCCCTAACCCCCTATCCCCATAACCCCATAACCCCATAACCCCCTATCCCCCATAACCCCCCCTAACCCCCTATCCCCATAACCCCCTATCCCCATAACCCCCTAACCCCCTATCCCCATAACCCCCTAACCCCCTAACCCCCTATCCCCATAACCCCCTAACCCCATAACCCCCTAACACCATATCCCCTGTCCCCCATACCCCTAACCCCTAACCCATAACCCCTATCCCCATAACCCCCCTACCCCCTAACCCCATACCCCTAACCCCCTAACCCCCTATCCCCATAACCCCTAACCCCCTAAACCCCATAACCCCATAAACCCCCTCAACCCCCTAACCCATAGCCCCCTAACCCCCTAACCCCATCTCCCCCTCCCCCGTCCCCATTCGCCCCTAACTCCATAACTCCAACCCCCCTAACCCCATAACCCCCTCTCCCCCTATCCCCATACCCCCTATCCCCATACCCCTACCCCCCTAAACCAAACACCCATAAACCCAGATCCCCATAACCCCCTATCCCCCTAACCCCATAACCCCCATAACCCCCTATCCCCCTAACCCCCCTATCCCCCTAACCAACCCCCTACCCCCTAACCACCTAACCCCTATCCCCATAACCCCCTATCCCCATAACCCCCGATCCCCATAACCCCATCCCCCATAACAAACCCCCCCCCAAAATTAACCCCATAGCCCCATAAGAAACCCCCTAACCCCCTATCATCCCACCTAACCCCCTTAACCCCCTATCCCTACCCTATCCCATAACCCCCTAACCCCATATCCCCCTATCCCCATAACCCCCTAACCCCCTAACCCCCCTAACCAACCCCATATCCCCATAACCCCATAACCCCCTCACCCCCCTAACCCATATCCTCTCCCCCTAACCCCCTAACCCCCTATCCCCCTAACCCCCTACCCCATATCCCCCCTAACTCCATAACTCCATAACCCCATAACCCCCTTCCCCCTATCGCCCATAACCCCCTATCCCCCTATCCCCATAACCCCCTAACCCCTAACCCATAACCCCATAGCCCCATACCCCCTATCCCCCTATCCCCATAACCCCCCTATCCCCCTAGCCCCATAACCCCCTAACCCCATAACCCCAATATCCCCCAACCCCCATACCCCATACCCCATAACCCCATAACCCCATACCCCTAACCCCCTAACCCCCCTAACACCCCATAACCCTCAACCCCATACCCCATAACCCCCCCTAACCCCCTAACCCCCTAAAACCCATATCCCCATAACCCACACCCCTAACCCCCTAACCCCATAACCCCCCCCTAACCCCCTAACCCACTATCCCCCTATCGCCCCTATCCCCCATACACCCCCTAACCCCCTTCCCCCAACCCCTAACCCCCTAACCCCATAACCCCCCTATCCCCCTAACCCACTAACCCCCTATCCTCCCCAAAACCCCTAACCCCTAACCCTAAACCATATCCCTCTAACCCCACCACAACACCTAACCCCTAACCCCATAACCCCATAAACCCCTATCCCCCTAACCCCCTAACCCTATCCCCCATAGAGAACCCCCATTCCCCAAACCCCTAACCCCTAATCCCCTAACCCCCTATCCCCATACCCCCTATCCCCATAACCCCCTAACCCCCCTATCCCCATAACCCATACCCCCAAACCCCCTATCCCCCTAACCCCTATAACCCCATATCCCATAACCCCCTAACCCATTACCACTTTTACTATAATAACAGATTGTATTACACTAAAATAACCGATTATCAATATAAAACGCTCATTATGCAACTAAAATGTGCTCTAGTCATTAATCTTTAACAATGGTGATGATGATGATGCTGATGATGATGAGGGTGATGACTAAAGACAAACTGACAGGGATATGTATTCCTACACCCCTGTATTACAGAAGCTGTTAATTCAGTCGTAGTGTTGTCTCTTATCGAGCTCTGTTTTTCAGCTTCAGTCGTAGTGTTGTCTCTGATCGAGCTCTGTTTTTCGGCTTCAGTCGTAGTGTTGTCTCTTATCGAGCTCTGTTTTTCAGCTTCAGTCGTAGTGTTGTCTCTGATCGAGCTCTGTTTTTCGGCTTCAGTCGTAGTGTTGTCTCTGATCGAGCTCTGTTTTTCAGCTTCAGTCGTAGTGTTGTCTCTTATCGAGCTCTGTTTTTCAGGTCTAGAGTAGCCGTCTGTGTTACAGAGGCAGGCCGTTCTGTTCATAGAGATGGATACACTATTTTGATTGTTTAATCTTTATGGTTCTGTGTCACCATGTCGTGGTGTCTTGTCGTTCCAGATGTACATCACTAGCACCATAAAGACTAAGAGTAGCCGCCTGGCCAAACCGGTGCTGTGCCTGGGCATCCTGTGTACAGCCTTCCTCACCGGGCTCAACCGGGTCTCGGAGTACCGGAACCACTGTTCTGATGTCATCGCTGGGTTCATCCTGGGCAGCTCTGTTGCTCTCTTCCTGGTGAGGACTAACGTTTTCTTTATCTCTTTTGTTGATGATCTCTTTTAGCACACAATGGTAGTCCAGGAAGTCTAGTCTAGTATTGGTCAAACGATCTTAAGCTGGTATGTTGAATCAATAAGGCCTGAGGACGTGTGGTTCAGTGCCTTCAGAAAGTATTTACTTTTTCCACATGTTGTTCTGTTTCTGCCTGAATTTAAAATAGATTAAATTGAGATTTTGTGTCACTGGCCTACACACAATACTCCATAATGTCAAAGTGGAATTGTGTTTTTACACATTTTTACAAATTAATAAAAAATGAAAAGCTGAAATGTCTTGTGTCAGTAAGTATTCAACCCCTTTGTTATGGCAAGCCTAAAGAAGTTCAGGAGTAAAACTGTGCTTAACTAGTCACATAATATCTTGCATGGATTTTTGAATGTCTACCTCATTTCTGAACCCCACACATACAGTTATCTGTAAGGTCCCTCAGTCGAGCAGTGAATTTCAAAACACAGATTCAACCACAAAGACCAGGGAGGTTTTCCAATGCCTCGCAAAGAAGGGCACCAATTTGGTAGATGGGTAAAAATTAAAAAAGCAGACATTGAATATCCCTTTGAGCATGGTGAAGTAGTTAGTTACTCTTTGGATGGTGTATCAATACACCCAGTCACTACAAAGATACAGGCGTCCTTCCTAACTCAGTTGCCGGAGAGGAAGGAAATCGCTCAGGGATTTCACCATGAGGCCAATGGTGACTTTAAAACAGTTACAGAGTTGAATGGCTGTGATAGGAGAAAACGGAGGATGGATCAACAACATTGTAGTTACTCCACAATACTAACCTAAATGACAGAGTGAAAAGAAGGAAGCCTGTACAGAATATAAATATTCCAAAACATGCATCGTGTTTGCAACAAGGCACTAAAGTAATACTACACATCACTGAGTTCCACTCTTCACATTTTCAAGCATGGTGGTGGCTGCATCATGTTATGGGTATGCTTGTCATTGGCAAGGACGAGGGAGTTTTCTGGGATTAAAAGAAACGGAATGGAGCTAAGCACGGGCAAAATCCTAGAGGAAAAGCTGGTCCAGTCTGCTTTCCACCAGACACTGGGAGACAAATTCACCTTTCAGCACGACAATAACCTTAAAGACAAGGTCAAATATACACTGAGTTTACCAAACATTAGGAACACCTTCCTAACATTGAGTTGCCCTCCCCCCTTTTACCTTCAGAACAGCCTCAATTCGTCAGGGCATTGGACTCTACAAGGTGTCGAAAGCGTTCCACAGGGATGCTGGCCCATGTTGATTCCAATGCTTCCCACAGGGATGCTGGCCCCATGTTGATTCCAAAGCGTTCCACAGGGATGCTGGCCCATGTTGATTCCAATGCTTCCCACAGGGATGCTGGCCCCATGTTGATTCCAAAGCGTTCCACAGGGATGCTGGCCCATGTTGATTCCAATGCTTCCCACAGGGATGCTGGCCCCATGTTGATTCCAAAGCGTTCCACAGGGATGCTGGCCCCATGTTGATTCCAATGCTTCCCACAGGGATGCTGGCCCATGTTGATTCCAATGCTTCCTACAGTTGTGTCAAGTTGGCTGGATGTCCTTTGGGTGATGGACCATTCTTCATACACATGGGAAACTGATGAGCATGAAAAACCCAGCAGCGTTGCAGTTCTTGACACACACAAACCGGTGCACCTGGCACCTGGCACCTACTACCATGCCCCGTTCAAAGGCACTTCAATCTTTTGTCTTGCTCATTTACCCTCTGAATGGCACACATACACAATCCATGTCTCAATTGTCTCAAGGCTTTAAAATCCTTCTTTAACCTGTCTCCTCCCCTTCATCTACACGGATTAAAGTGGATTTAACAAGTGACATCAATAAGGGATCATAGCTTTCACCTGGATTCACCTGGTCAGTCTGTCATGGAAAGAGTAGGTGATCTTAATGTTTTGTCCACTCTCCTGTATGTCTCCTGTGTTTTAGGGTATCTGTGTGGTGAACAACTTTAAAGGAGCCCACTGCACCCCCACCAAGCAGAAGACTGAAGATTACCGCGGTCTCCCCCTAATGACCTTCCCCCGCGTCCAGAGCCCCCTGGAGACACTCAGCGCACAGGTAACCACTTAACACACCTTACACACACACCTGGTACACCCCGATGTCTCCCCCTAATGACCTTCCCCCGCGTTGACAGCCCCCTGGAGACACTCAGCGCACAGGTAACCACTTAACACTACTGTACAATACTACTGTAACCACTTAACACTACTGTACAATACTACTGCACAGGTAACACTTAACACTACTGTACAATACTACTGCACAGGTAACCACTTAACACTACTGTACAATACTACTGCACAGGTAACCACTTAACACTACTGTACAATACTACTGCACAGGCACATAGTTAGCAAAGTCCTTAGTGCTGACCTAGACCCAAGTGTGCTGTACCAAACTATCCTGGACTATACTATACTGGACTGGACTATACTATACTATCCTGGACTATACTATCCTGGACTATACTATCCTGGACTATACTATACTGGATTATACTGTACCATAATATACTGGACTGGACTATACTATACTATACTATACTATACTATCCTGGACTATACTATACTGGACTATACTGTACCATAATATACTGGACTGGACTGGACTCTACTATACTATACTATACTATCCTGGACTATACTATCCTGGACTATACTATACTGGATTATACTGTACCATACTATACTATACTGTACTATACTATACTATACTATACTGGACTATACTATACTATACTGGACTATACTGGACTGGACTATACTATACTATCCTGGACTATACTATACTATACTATGCTGTACCATACTATACTATCCTGGACTATACTATACTGGATTATACTGTACCATAATATACTGGACTGGACTATACTATACTATACTATACTATACTATCCTGGACTATACTATACTGGACTATACTGTACCATAATATACTGGACTGGACTGGACTCTACTATACTATACTATACTATCCTGGACTATACTATCCTGGACTATACTATACTGGATTATACTGTACCATACTATACTATACTGTACTATACTATACTATACTGGACTATACTATACTATACTGGACTATACTATACTATACTGGACTGTACAGTACCATACTGTTTTGGACTGTATTGTACTGTACCCTACTATACTGTGTTTTGAAATCTACTGTGAATGTCCTGTAATGTTTTAAAAATTGTATAACCTTGGCAGCAGCTGATGGGGATCCATAATAAATACAAATACTGGACTATATTATACCGGACTATACTGGACTGTACTGGACTGTACTGGACTATACTGGACTATACTGGACCATACTGGACTATACTGGACTATACTGGACCATACTGGACCATACTGGACTATACTGGACCATACTGGACTATACCAGACTATACTGGACTATACTGGACTATACTGGACTATACTGGACTATACCGGACTATACTGGACTATACTGCCCCTTACTGGACTATTGGCCTATTTTTTAACTTGGGGATAAATACTGGACTATACTGGCATTTTACCCTTCTTATTTAAAATTATCGGACTTACTGGACATACTGGACAAAACCGGCTATACTGGACTATCTGGCTTTATATTTACCGGACTATACGACTATAGGGAAACTTACGGGGAACTGGACTATACTGGACTTACTGGACAACTGGCTATCCCGACATACTGGAAACTATCGGGACTATTTACCTGGACTATACGGACATATGGCCATACGGACATACGGGACATACTGGACTATACGCCCATCCCGGACTTTGGACAACTGGACTATATGGACTAACCCCTTAAGGGACAAAATACGTCCCAAAAAGGGACTAACGGACAACACTACTGGACCAAACTACCTAGGAACGGACAACTGGGACCAACGAAATGACACACACAACTACAAAAAGGAAACGACCATACGGACAACACTATAGGCCCCCCAATACATACGGCCCCAATACAAAAGGACATACTGGACAACACATCCCTGGGACCAACTCCCATAAAGGGCCCCATACTCTAAAAGGGAAACATACTGGACAAAACCATACGGACAAAACTTAGGACCCAAAACACACAAAAAGAGAACACCAAAAAACCCATACATAAGAGAACCCCAAACATACATAAAGGAACCCCAAAAAATAAAGAGGAGGGAGCACCCTATTTTAAAAAGCGCCAAAACATTACTAAAGAGAAACCAAAAAAAAGTAAAAATAAAAAGGAAGAAAAACTTAAAAAGGGAAAAAATTAAAGGGGGAAAAAAAAACCTAAAAAGGAGAAACACCTCAAAAGGAGACCCCAACCCTAATAAAGAGGGGAAAACACAAAAAAGAGAGAGAAAAATTTACATAAGGGCCCCCTTAAAAGAGAGCGAAAACAAAATAAGGAGAACCCAAAATTTTAAAAGGAAAAGGGAAAATATAAAGGGGGCCCCAAAATTAAAGAGGGAAAACAAAATGGGGCCCAAAACCCTCAAAAGAAACACCACAACACAAAAAAAAAGAGACACCAAAAACACTACAAAAAAGGGGCCCCAAAAAACCCAAAAAAAACCCAACACTACAAAAAGAGGACACCACAACACTAAAATAAAGAGAGACCCACAACACTACATAAGAGAGACCCCAAAAACACACTAAAAGAGACCCCACAACACTCCATAAGAGAGACCCCAAAAACCTCATAAAGAGAGCTCCACAACACTACATAAAGAGACACCACAACACTACATAAAGAGAGCACCACAACCTACTAAAGAAGACCCACAACACTACTAAAGAGGACCCACAAACTACTAAGAAGAACACCACAACCTACAAAAAGAAGACCCAAAACACTACATAAAGAGAGACCCCCACAACACTACATAAAGAAGACCCCACAAACTAAAAAAGAGAGACCCCAAAACCCTACAAAAGAGAGACACCACAACACTACATAAGAGAACCCACAACACTAAATAAAGAAGACCCACAAATACATAAAGAAGACCCCAAACCCTACATAAAAGAACCGCCCAAACTACAAAAAGAGAAAAAACCACAAAAACTACATAAAAAAAGACACCACAACACTACATAAAGAGAGAAAACCACAACCAAAATAAAAGACCCACAACACTACATAAAAGAGACCCAAACCTACATAAAGAGAACCCAAAAACCCTACTAAAGAAGACCCACACACTACATAAGAGAGACCCACAACACTACAAAAAAGAGAGACCCACAACCCTACATAAAGAGAGCGGCCAACACCACATAAAGAGAACGCCACAACACACAAAAAGAAGACGCCACAAAAAAATAAAAGAACCCACAACACTACATAAAAAGACACCACAACACTACAAAAGGGGAACCCACAACTACATAAAAGGGGAACACCAAAACACTCATAAAGAAGAGCCAAAACACTACAAAAAGAAACACCAAAACCACTCAAAAAGAGACCCACAACTAATAAAGAAGCCTAAAACCCAAACAAAAAAACCCCAAACTACAAAAGGAGACCCCCACCAAACACTCCATAAAAAAACCCCCACAACCACATAAAGAAATCCACAACACTACAAAAAGAGAACACCCAACACTACAAAAGAAACCCCCCAAAAACACTACATAAAGAAGTGCCACAACCTCCCAAAAAAGAGACACCACAACACTACATGAGAACCCCAACCTCTAAAGAGAACCCCAAAAACCTAAAATAAAAAAAACCAAACCTCCCATAAAAGAACCCACAACACTACATAAAAAGACACCACAACCTCCATAAAAGAACCCCAACACTCCTAAAAGAACCCACAACAAAAAAGAAACCCCACAAAAATACATAAAGGAGACCCCACAACACTACAAAAAGAAGCACCACCACTACAAAAAGGAACACCACAACACTACATAAAAAAACACCACAACACTACTTTAAAGGAGCCACCACAACACTACCAAAGAAGCCCCAAAACTACTTAAAGAAACCCACAACACTACTAAAAGAACACCAAACACTACATAAAGAAAACACCACAAACACCCATAAAAAGACCCACAACCTACATAAAGAACCCCCACAACACTACATAAAAGAACCACAACACTACATAAAAAAAGCACCACAACACTCTAAAAGGGGGACACCAACACACTAAAGAAAACCCCCACAACATACATAAGAGAGACACCACAACACTACATAAAGAGAGACGCCACAACCTACTAAAGGGGAGACGCCACAACACTACAAAAAGAGAAAAACCAAAACCAACATAAAGAGACCCCCAAACACTACTAAAGAAGACCCACAACATACATAAAGAGAAACACCAAAACAAAAATAAAAAAAACCCCCACAACACTACATAAAAGAGACACCACAACACTACAAAAAAGGGAACGCCAAAAACACTCATAAAAAGACACCACAACACTACATAAAAAACCCCAACACTACATAAAAAACCCCACAACACTACATAAAAACACCACAAAAACTACAAAAAAGAGAAACCCCACAAAACACTAATAAAGAAACCCACAACACTTAAAGAAACCCAAACACACTAAAAAACCCAAACATACAAAAAAAACACCACAAAAAACACTACTAAAAAGAGGGCACAACACCAAAAATAAAGAGAACCCCCAAACACTACAAAAAAGGGGAAAAAGCCCCAAAACTACTAAAAAGGACCCACAACCTCCATAAAGAAGACCCCCAAAAACCTACATAAAAAGACACCACAACACTACATAAAGAGAGACACCAAAAACCCACTACAAAAGAAGACCCACAACACACTAAAGAAGACCCCAAACACACAAAAGAGAACCCAAAACATCCCTAAAAAAAAAAACCTACAACAATACATAAAGAAACCCCCAACCCTACTAAAAGAAAGGCCACAACACTCCATAAAAAAACCCCCACAACACTCTAAAAAGGACCCCCACAACACACATAAAAAAGACACCAAAACATACTAAAGAAGACCCACAACCTACATAAAAAATCCACAACACCTAAGAAGAAACCACAACCTACATAAAAAAACACCACAACACTACATAAGAAAAACCCCCAAAACCTCAAAAAAAGAGAGACGCCAAAAACACTCTAAAAACACCAAAACACTACATAAAAAACCCCAAAAACACTACAAAAAACACCAAAACACTACATAAAAGACCCACAACACTAATAAAAGAACCCAAAACACTACATAAAGAAGAGGCACAAACCACATAAAGAGAGACACCACAACCTACATAAAAAACACCACAACACACAAAAAAGAACACCAAACACTACATAAAAGGGGACACCACACCTACTTTTAAAAAAGGGGACCCCACCACTACTTTAAAGGAAACCCACAACACTACATAAAAAACGCCACAACACTACTAAAAGACACCAAAAACTACATAAAGAAGACCCACAACACACAAAAGAAGACACCCACAACACTACATAAAAACACACAACATACAAAAGAAACCCACAACACTAATAAAGGGGACACCCCACAAAAAAAAAAAGGGGAACTCCACAACATACATTATAAAAGACACCACAACACTACTAAAAGAGCGCCACAACCTACTAAAGGCACCACAACATACATAAAGAAGCCCCCACAACACTACTAAAAGAGCGCCAAAAACACTACTAAAAGAGACCCACAACACTACATAAGAAGACACCAAAACACTACATAAAGAGAGCCCCGCCAAACCTACATAAAGAGAGAACACCACAACACTACTACATAAAGAGGACACCACAACACTACATAAGAGAGGACACCACAACACTACATAAAGAGAGACACCACAACACTACATAAAGAGAGACACCACAAACACTAATAAAGAGAGACACCACAACACTACATAAAGAGAGACACCACAACACTACATAAGAGAGATGCCACAACACACATAAAGAGAGACGCCACAACACTACATAAAGAGACACCCCAACACTACATAAATAGAGACGCCACAACACTACATAAAGAGAGACGCCACAACACCTACATAAAGAGAGACACCACAACACTACATAAAGAGAGACACCACAACACTCCATAAAGAGAGACCCACCACACACTACAAAGAGAGACGCCACAAACACTACATAAAGAGAGACACCACAACACTACATAAAGAGAGACGCCACAACACATACATAAAGAGAGACACCACAACACTAATAAAGAAGACGCCACAACACTACATAAAGAGAGACACCACAACAACTACATAAAGAGAGACCTAAGACAACAACATAGCATGGCAGCAACCCAACATGAAAAACAACATGGCAGCAACCCAACATGAAACAACATGGCAGCAACCCCAACATGAAAACAACATGGCAGCAGCACAAGACATGGTACAAACATTATTGGGCACAGACAACAGCACAAAGGGCAAGAAGGTAGAGACAACATTTACATTACATTTACGTCATTTAGCAGACGCTCTTATCCAGAGCGACTTACAAATTGGTGCATTCACCTTATGATAGCCAGTGGGACAACCACTTTACCATTTATTTTGTTATATTTTACTAATTTTGTAATTCTTAATTTTTAGAGTATATTTATAATTTTCATTTGTTTTATATATATAATTTTTTTATAAAAAAAAAATCTATAAATATTTATTTTTATTAGCCTTTTTATTTTGTAATTTTTTTTTGGTCCTTTTTCTATATTTTATTATAAAAAATAAACAAATAAACAAATTCTCTCTCTTTCATTTTTCATTTGTTATATATATATATATTTTTATTTTTATTTTTTCTTATATATTTTTTATATATATATATATATATATATTTTTTTTTTGTGGGGGGTGAGGTAGGGGGGTGGTAGAAGGATTACTTTTATCCTATCACAGGTATTCCTTAAAGAGGTAGGGTTTCAAGTGTCTCCGGAAGGTGGTGAGTGACTCCGCTGTCCTGGCATCGTGAGGGAGCTTGTTCCACCATTGGGGTGCCAGAGCAGCGAACAGTTTTGACTGGGCTGAGCGGGAACTGTGCTTCCGCAGAGGTAGGGGGGCCAGCAGGCCAGAGGTGGATGAACGCAATGCCCTCGTTTGGACGTAGGGTCTGATCAGAGCCTGAAGGTAAGGAGGTGCCGTTCCCCTCACTGCTCCGTAGGCAAGCACCATGGTCTTGTAGCAGATGCGAGCTTCAAATGGAAGCCAGTGGAGTGTGCGGAGGAGCGGGGTGACGTGAGAGAACTTGGGAAGGTTGAACACCAGACGGGCTGCAGCGTTCTGGATGAGTTGTAGGGGTTTCTTTAACAATACACAAATCTAAAAGTAAAATAATGGCATTAAGAAATATATAAATATTAGGACGAGCAACGTCGGAGTGGCCCTGACTAAAATACAGTATAATAAAAGACAATATATACATATGAGATGAGTAAAGCAGTATGTAAACATTATTAAAGTGACTAGTGTTCCATTATTAAAGTGACCAGTGATTCCATGTCTATGTATATAGGGCAGCAGCCTCTAAGGTGCAGGGTTGAGTAACCGGGTGGTAGCCGGCTAGTGATGGCTATTTAACAGTCTGATGACCTTGAGATAGAACCTGTTTTCCCAGCTTTGATGCACCTGTACTGACCTCGCCTTCTGGATGATCGCAGGGTGAACAGGCTGTGGCTCGGGTGGTTGATGTCCTTGATTATCTTTTTGGCCTTCCTGTGACATCGGGTGCTGTAGATGTCCTGGAGGGCGGGTAGTTTGCCCCCAGTGATGCGTTCGGCAGACCGTACCACCCTCTGGAGAGCCCTGCGGTTGTGGGCGGTGCAGTTGCCGTACCAGACGGTGATACAGCCCGACAGGATGCTCTCAATTGTGCATCTGTAAAAGTTTGTGAGGGTTTTAGGGGCCAAGCTAAATTTCTTCAGCCTCCTGAGGTTGAAGAGGCGCTGTTGCGTGGGTATCTGTGTGGGTGGACCATTTCAGATTGTCAGCGATGTGTATGCTGAGGAACTTGAAGCTTTTCACCTTCTCCACAGAGGTCCCGTTGATGTGGATAGGGGGGGTGCTCCCTCTGCTGTTTCCTGAAGTCCACGATCAGCTCCTTCGTTTTGTTGACTTTGAGTGAGAGGTTATTTTCCTGGCACCACACTCCCAGAGCCCTCACCTCCTCCCTGTAGGCTGTCTAGTCATTGTTGGTAATCAGGCCTACTACTGTTGTGTCATCTGCAAACTTGATGATTGAGTTGGAGGCGTGCGTGGGTGAACCGGGAGTACAGGAGGGGGCTGAGCACGCACCCTTGTGGGGCCCCAGTGTTGAGGATCAGCGAAGTGGAGGTGTCGTTTTCTACCTTCACCACCTGGGGGCGGCCTGTCAGGAAGTCCAGGACCCAGTTGCACAGGGAGGGGTTCAGACCCAGGGCCCCGAGCTTAATGATGAGCTTGGAGGGTACTATGCTGTTGAATGCTGAGCTATAGTCAATGAACAGCATTCTGACGTAGGTATTCCTCTTGTCCAGATGGGATAGGGCAGTGTGCAGTGCAATGGTGATTATTGTCTGTGGATCTATTGGGGAGATAAGCAAATTGAAGTGGGTCTAGGGTGTCAGGTAAGGTGGAGGTGATATGATCCTTAACTAGCCTCTCAAAACACTTAATGATGACAGAAATGAGTGCTACGGGGTGATAGTCATTTAGTTTAGTTACCTTTGCTTTCTTGGGTAAAGGAACAATGGTGGCCATCTTGAAGCAAGTGGGGACAGCAGACTGGGAAAGGGAGAGATTGAATATGTCCGTAAACACTCCAGCCAGCTGGTCTGCGCATGCTCTGAGGATGCGGCTAGGGATGCCGTCTGGGCTGGCAGCTTCGCGAGGGTTAACACGCTTAAATGTCTGACTCACATCGGCCACGGAGAAGGTGAGCCCACTGTCCTTGGGAGCGGGCCATGTCGGTGGCACTGTGTTATCCTCTGTTCTGGATGACTGTGTGATCACGCTCTCCGTAGCCGATGTGAGTAAGACCTTTTAAACAGGTCAACATTCACAAGGCCTCAAGGCCTTCACTGACATTTTCAACCTCTCCCTGACCCAGTCTGTGATACCTACATGTTTCAAGCAGACCACCCGAGTCCCTGTGCCCAAGAACGCCAAGGTGTAACCTGTCTAAATGACTATCGCCACATAGCACTCACTGTAGTCATGAAATGCTTTGAAAGGCTGGTCATGGCTCACATCAACACCATCATCCCAGACACCCTGGACCCACTCCAATTCGCATGCAGCTGCTCGGCCATGGAAACACATTTCCAGACGAACAGTTATTGTGCTGACGTTGCTTCCAGAGGCAGTTTGGACCTTGACTCGGTTCTGGTACCCCATGTACTGTATATAGCCAAGCTATCATTGCTCATTGTGTATTTATTACCATTTTTTTATATTATTTAATAGTTTTATTGTATTCCCCATTGTTGTAAGTAAGCATTTCACTGTTAGTCTACACCTGTTGTTTACCCAAGCATGTGACAATTAAACTGTATTTTATGTGGCCCTCATCAACCGGCCATCAGGGTCATAGGGATTAGGTGGCTTTGCATTGGGCTGATACTATGCAGTATTAACACTAGGCACACCTCCACACAACACTGTACAGTATATACACTGTTTCTATTCATCATGGCAGCATGGCTCCCTCCGTTTATAGAGATATATCCCCTCTGTAATCAGCCTGTACTCCAGAGTTGTAGGTTTACTGTTCTGATATTGTACAGTGAGAGAAAAAAGTATTTGATCCCCTGCTGATTTTGTACGTTTGCCCACTGACAAAGAAATGATCAGTCTATAATTTTAATGGGAGGTTTATTTGAACAGTGAGAGACAGAATAACAACAACAAAATCCAGAAAACCCCCGTCCATCGTCCCTTTAATGCAGTGAAGTTGTCCTGTCCCCTTAGCAGAAAAACACCCCCAAAGCATAATGTTTCCACCTCCATGTTTGACGGTGGGGATGGTGTTCTTGGGGTCATAGGCAGCATTCCTCCTTCTCCAAACACGGTGAGTTGAGTTGATGCCAAAGAGCTCGATTTTGGTCTCATCTGACCACAACACTTTCACCCAGTTTCTCCTCTGAATCATTCAGATGTTCATTGGCAAACTTCAGACGGGCCTGTATATGTGCTTTCTTGAGCAGGGGGACCTTGCGGGCGCTGCAGGATTTCAGTCCTTCACGGCGTAGTGTGTTACCAATTGTTTTCTTGGTGACTATGGTCCCAGCTGCCTTGAGATCCTTGACAAGATCCTCCCGTGTAGTTCTGGGCTGATTCCTCACCGTTCTCATGATCATTGCAACTCCACGAGGTGAGATCTTGCATGGAGCCCCAGGCCGAGGGAGATTGACAGTTCTTTTGTGTTTCTTCCATTTGCGAATAATCGCACCAACTGTTGTCACCTTCTCACCAAGCTGCTTGGCGATGGTCTTGTAGCCCATTCCAGCCTTGTATAGGTCTACAATCTTGTCCCTGACATCCTTGGAGAGCTCTTTGGTCTTGGCCATGGTGGAGAGTTTGGAATCTGATTGATTGCTTCTGTGGACAGGTTTCTTTTATACAGGTAACAAGCTGAGATTAGGAGCACTCCCTTTAAGAGTGTGCTCCTAATCTCAGCTCGTTACCTGTATAAAAGACACCTGGGAGCCAGAAATCTTTCTGTTTCAGAGGGGGTCAAATACTTATTTCCCTCATTACAATTCAAATCAATTTATAACATTTTTGACATGCGTTTTTCTGGATTTTTCTGTTGTTATTCTGTCTCTCACTGTTCAAATAAACCTACCATTAAAATTATAGACTGATCATTTCTTTGTCAGTGGGCAAACGTACAAAATCAGCAGGGGATCAAATACTTTTTTTCCCTCACTGTATATTCTGTATGATGTCTATGTGGACTCGTGTCTTTATTCTGTTTGTATATTGTCGGCAGCATCTTCTCACTAAGGCAGCATCTTCTCACTACGGTACATTCAGAATAAAGTTGATTCTGATCTTTTGATTCTGGTTAGGTGTGTGTGTGTGTGTGTCCAGTCTTAATGTGTATTGATGAGCTGTACAGCTGCCTCCTCAGCAGTCTCCCTCCCTCCCTCCGGGGGAATCAGGTTGATGAATGAACTAACTGCCATGTTAATGTATGTATCAACATCATTCTGCTCAGAGCCTCCCAGTTTCCCTACTGTAGAAAGCCCTACAGTTTTCCCAAATGGGACCCTGTTCTCTACTGTAGAATGGTCTTTCGTTGGTTACGGACACTCAACCCATCACTCTGGCCCTCCACCTCTGGCCCTCACCGCAAACGCCTCACTCTGGCCCTCACTCCTGGCCCTCACTGCTCCTGGCCCTCACGCAACAACTCCTCACTCAACCCTCACTTCACCCGGTCACCAACCCTACACTCGGCCCTCACTCAACCCTCACTTCTGGCCCTCACTCAACCTCACTCTGGCCCATCACTCTGGCCCTCACTCTGGCGCCTCACTCAACGCTCACTCAACCCTCACTCAACACCCACTCTGGCCCTCACCTAACCCCACTCACCCTCACCTGCCTCCCAACCCTCACTCTGGCCCTCACTCAACCTCACTCTGGCCCTCACTCAACCCTCACTCTGGCCCCACTCAACCCTCACTCTGGCCCTCACTCAACCCTCACTCTGGCCCTCACTCAACCCTCACTCTGGCCCTCACTCAGAGATTGAATATGTCCATAAACACACAGGCCAGCTGGTCTGCGCATGCTCTGAGGACGCGGCTAGGGATGCCGTCTGGGCTGGCAGCTTCGCGAGGGTTAACACGCTTAAATGTCTGACTCACATCGGCCACGGAGAAGGAGAGCCCACTGTCCTTGGGAGCGGGCCATGTCGGTGGCACTGTGTTATCCTCTGTTCTGGATGACTGTGTGATCACGCTCTCCGTAGCCGATGTGAGTAAGACCTTTTAAACAGGTCAACATTCACAAGGCCTCAAGGCCTTCACTGACATTTTCAACCTCTCCCTGACCCAGTCTGTGATACCTACATGTTTCAAGCAGACCACCATAGTCCCTGTGCCCAAGAACTCCAAGGTGTAACCTGTCTAAATGACTATCGCCACATAGCACTCACTTCTGTAGTCATGAAATGCTTTGAAAGGCTGGTCATGGCTCACATCAACACCATCATCCCAGAAACCCTGGACCCACTCCAATTCGCATGCAGCTGCTCGGCCATGGAAACACATTTCCAGACGAACAGATATTGTGCTGACGTTGCTTCCAGAGGCAGTTTGGACCTTGACTCGGTTCTGGTACCCCATGTACTGTATATAGCCAAGCTATCATTGCTCATTGTGTATTTATTACAATTTAGTTACAAAATAGTTTTATTGTATTCCCCATTGTTGTAAGTAAACATTTCACTGTTAGTCTACACCTGTTGTTTACCCAAGCATGTGACAAATAAACTGTATTTTATGTGGCCCTCATCAACCGGCCATCAGGGTCATAGGGATTAGGTGGCTTTGCATTGGGCTGATACTATGCAGTATTAACACTAGGCACACCTCCACACAACACTGTACAGTATATACACTGTTTCTATTCATCATGGCAGCATCCCTCCCTCAGTTTTATAGAGATATATCCCCTCTGTAATCAGCCTGTACTCCAGAGTTGTAGGTTTACTGTTCTGATATTGTACAGTGAGGGAAAAAAGTATTTGATCCCCTGCTGATTTTGTACGTTTGCCCACTGACAAAGAAATGATCAGTCTATAATTTTAATGGTAGGTTTATTTGAACAGTGAGAGACAGAATAACAACAAAAAAAATCCAGAAAACCCCCGTCCATCGTCCCTTTGATGCGGTGAAGCTGTCCTGACCCCTTAGCAGAAAAACACCCCCAAAGCATAATGTTTCCACCTCCATGTTTGACGGTGGGGATGGTGTTCTTGGGGTCATAGGCAGCATTCATCCTCCTCCAAACACGGCGAGTTGAGTTGATGCCAAAGAGCTCGATTTTGGTCTCATCTGACCACAACACTTTCACCCACTTCTCCTCTGAATCATTCAGATGTTCATTGGCAAACTTCAGACGGCCCTGTATATGTGCTTTCTTGAGCAGGGGGACCTTGCGGGCGCTGCAGGATTTCAGTCCTTCACGGCGTAGTGTGTTACCAATTGTTTTCTTGGTGACTATGGTCCCAGCTGCCTTGAGATCCTTGACAAGATCCTCCCGTGTAGTTCTGGGCTGATTCCTCACTGTTCTCATGATCATTGCAACTCCACGAGGTGAGATCTTGCATAGAGCCCCAGGCCGAGGGAGATTGATAGTTATTTTGTGTTTCTTCCATTTGCGAATAATCGCACCAACTGTTGTCACCTTCTCACCAAGCTGCTTGGCGATGGTCTTGTAGCCCATTCCAGCCTTGTGTAGGTCTACAATCTTGTCCCTGACATCCTTGGAGAGCTCTTTGGTCTTGGTCATGGTGGAGAGTTTGGAATCTGATTGATTGATTGCTTCTGTGGACAGGTGTCTTTTATACAGGTAACAAACTGAGATTAGGAGCACTCCCTTTAAGAGTGTGCTCCTAATCTCAGCTCGTTACCTGTATAAAAGACACCTGGGAGCCAGAAATCTTTCTGATTGAGAGGGGGTCAAATACTTATTTCCCTCATTAAAATTCAAATCAATTTATAACATTTTTTACATGCGTTTTCTGGATTTTTTTGTTGTTATTCTGTCTCTCACTGTTCAAATAAACCTACCATTAAAATTATAGACTGATCATTTCTTTGTCAGTGGGCAAACGTACAAAATCAGCAGGGGATCAAATACTTTTTTTCCCTCACTGTATATTCTGTATGATGTCTATGTGGACTCGTGTCTTTATTCTGTTTGTATATTGTCGGCAGCATCTTCTCACTAAGGCAGCATCTTCTCACTACGGTACATTCAGAATAAAGTTGATTCTGATCTTTTGATTCTGGTTAGGTGTGTGTGTGTGAGGTGTGTGTCCAGTCTTAATGTGTATTGATGAGCTGTACAGCTGCCTCCTCAGCAGTCTCCCTCCCTCCCTCCCTCCGGGGGAATCAGGTTGATGAATGAACTAACTGCCATGTTATGTATGTATCAACATCATTCTGCTCAGAGCCTCCCAGTTCCCTACTGGAGAAAGCCCTAACAGTTTCCCAAATGGGACCCTGTTCTCTACTGTAGAATGGTCTTTCCGTTGGTTACGGACACTCAACCCTCACTCAACCCTCACTCAACTCTCACTCTGGCCCTCACTCAACCCTCACTCTGGCCCTCACTCAACCCTCACTCAACCCTCACTCTGGCCCTCACTCAACCCGGCCCTCACTCAACCCTCACTCTGGCCTCACTCAACCCTCACTCAACCCTCACTCAACCCTCACTCTGGCCCTCACTCAACCCTCACTCTGGCCCTCACTCAACCCCGGCCCTCACTCAACCCTCACTCAACCCTCACTCAACCCTCACTCAACCCTCACTCAGCCCTCACTCAACCCTCACTCAACTCTCACTCTGGCCCTCACTCAACTCTCACTCTGGCCCTCACTCAACCCTCACTCTGGCCCTCACTCAACCCTCACTCAACCTTCACTCAACCCTCACTCTGGCCCTCACTCAACTCTCACTCTGGCCCTTACTCAGCCCTCACTCAACCCTCACTCAACCTTCACTCTGGCCCTCACTCTGGCCCTTACTCAGCCCTCACTCTGGCCCTCACTCAACCCTCACTCAACCCTCACTCTGGCCCTCAACCCTCAACCCTTTTCTCCTGGAACACTCTGTTGCAAGGGGCAACCAGAATTCATATGACCTAATCAGCCAATCAGAAGCTCTACCTGGGAGCAGGACAGGTTGACACAACCGATATAAACTCCTGTCCTCCACATCAACTCACATCTGGACTCTTTCCAAACCAGTCTTCCACCTTGGACTTCGCCAACCGTGTGTTATGTTTTATGTTTTGTTTTAGTCATTTACCAGACGCTCTTATCCAGAGCGACTTACAGGAGCAATTAGGGTTAAGTGCCTTGCTCAAGGGCACCTCGACAGATTTTTCACCTAGTCGGCTCTGGGATTAGAACCAGCGACCTTTCAGTTACTGGCACAACGCTCTTAACCACTAAGCTACCTGCCGCCCTGAGTTAATGCGTCACTGGCCATAAACCACTATAATACACTTCCACTACCACTAGTTCTCTCGTCTATTCCTGTGTGTGTCTGTTTGCTGTGTGGCAATAAAGTGTGAATTGTATCTTATGCTGGTCATTTTACGTTCTCTAACCGGGACTGGTTGCACATATATCTAAACTGGCACGTCTATCATAGTCCACCAGTTGGTGGTGCTCTTTTTCACCTATATAGTGCACTGCTTTAGACCAGAGAATGGCACCCTATTCCCTATATAGTGCACTACTTTAGACCAGAGAATGGCACCCTATTCCCTATATAGTGCACTGCTTTAGACCAGAGAATGGCACCCTATTCCCTATATAGTGCACTACTTTAGACCAGAGAATGGCACCCTATTCCCTATATAGCGCACTACTTTAGACCAGAGAATGGCACCCTATTCCCTATATAGTGCACTGCTTTAGACCAGAGAATGGCACCCTATTCCCTATATAGCGCACTACTTTAGACCAGAGAATGGCACCCTATTCCCTATATAGTGCACTGCTTTAGACCAGAGAATGGCACCCTATTCCCTATATAGTGCACTACTTTAGACCAGAGAATGGCACCCTATTCCCTATATAGTGCACTACTTTAGACCAGAGAATGGCACCCTATTCCCTATATAGTGCACTACTTTAGACCAGAGAATGGCACCCTATTCCCTATATAGTGCACTACTTTAGACCAGAGAATGGCACCCTATTCCCTATATAGTGCACTACTTTAGACCAGAGAATGGCACCCTATTCCCTATATAGTGCACTGCTTTAGACCAGAGAATGGCACCCTATTCCCTATATAGTGCACTACTTTAGACCAGAGAATGGCACCCTATTCCCTATATAGTGCACTACTTTAGACCAGAGAATGGCACCCTATTCCCTATATAGTGCACTACTTTAACCTTCCTAGGAGAATGGCACCCTATTCCCTATATAGTGCACTACTTTAGACCAGAGAATGGCACCCTATTCCCTATATAGTGCACTACTTTAGACCAGAGAATGGCACCCTATTCCCTATATAGTGCACTACTTTAGACCAGAGAATGGCACCCTATTCCCTATATAGGCACTGCTTTAGACCAAGAATGGCACCCTATTCCCTATATAGTGCACTACTTTAGACCAGAGAATGGAACCCTATTCCCTATATAGTGCACTACTTTAGACCAGAGAATGGCACCCTATTCCCTATATAGTGCACTACTTTAGACCAGAGAATGGCACCCTATTCCCTAATAGTGCACTACTTTAGACCAGAGAATGGCACCCTATTCCCTATATAGTGCACTGCTTTTGATTAAAGTCCTACTGGGTCTACATGGGTCCTGGTCTAAAGTAGTGCACTATATAGGGAATAGGGTGCCATTCTCTGGTCTAAAGTAGTGCACTATATAGGGAATAGGGTGCCATTCTCTGGTCTAAAGTAGTGCACTATATAGGGAATAGGGTGCCATTCTCTGGTCTAAAGTAGTGCACTACATAGGGAATAGGGTGCCATTCTCTGGTCTAAAGTAGTGCACTACATAGGGAATAGGGTGCCATTCTCTGGTCTAAAGTAGTGCACTACATAGGGAATAGGGTCCCATTTGGGACATAGCAATATATTTACTTCTGCCTCACGCTGATCATTCCTCAGTGCCAGCTGAAATTAAACATTAAACCATTCATGTCCAAATGTCTAATGTCCTTTAGTACTGTAATGTACTGTAGTAGTAATGTACTGTAGTAGTAATGTCCTTTAGTACTGTAATGTACTGTAGTAGTAATGTCATTTAGTACTGTAATGTACTGTAGTAGTAATGTACTGTAGTAGTAATGTACTGTAGTAGTAATGTCATTTAGTACTGTAATGTACTGTAGTAGTAATGTACTGTAGTAGTAATGTACTGTAGTAGTAATGTACTGTAGTAGTAATGTCCTTTAGTACTGTAATGTACTGTAGTAGGAATGTACTGTAGTAGTAATGTACTGTAGTAGTAATGTCCTTTAGTACTTCTATGTACTGTAGTAGTAATGTACTGTAGTATAATGTAATGTACTGTAGTAGTAATGTACTGTAGTAGTAATGTCCTTTAGTACAGTAATGTACAGTAGTAGTAATGTACTGTAGTAATAATGTACTGTAGTAGTAATGTAATGTACTGTAGTAGTAATGTAATGTACTGTAGTAGTAATGTACTGTAGTAGTAATGTCCTTTAGTACAGTAATGTACTGTAGTAGTAATGTACTGTAGTAGTAATGTCATTTAGTACTGTTATGTACTGTAGTAGTAATGTACTGTAGTAGTAATGTACTGTATTAGTAATGTCCTTTAGTACTGTAATGTACTGTAGTAGTAATGTACTGTAGTACACCTGTTCTTACTGAAGGACAAATCTGAAGACTGTTTTAAATGGGCAGAGCATTTCTCTACCATGTGAGTTTTGATATTCTACTATATTTAGTCTTTGGACTCATGGGATTACAGTTTTTTTTTACACATTTCATGAATCAAGTCCTGTGAATACGATGTGTTCAAATGATCAGATCTTAATCATTTTTGCTATATAGATTGTTCAGACCAATACAGTGAGGGAAAAACGTATTTGATCCCCTGCTGATTTTGTACGTTTGCCCACTGACAAAGAAATGATCAGTCTATAATTTTAATGGTAAGTTTATTTGAACAGTGAGAGACAGAATAACAACAAAAAAATCCAGAAAAACTCATGTCAAAAATGTTATAAATTGATTTGCATTTTAATGAGGGAAATAAGTATTTGATCCCTCTGCAAAACATGACTTAGTACTTGGTGGCAAAACCCTTGTTGGCAATCAGAGGTCAGACGTTTCTTGTAGTTGGCCACCAGGTTTGCACACATCTCAGGAGGGATTTTGTCCCACTCCTCTTTGCAGATCTTCTCCAAGTCATTAAGGTTTCGAGGCTGACGTTTGGCAACTCGAACCTTCAGCTCCCTCCACAGATTTTCTATGGGATTAAGGTCTGGAGACTGGCTAGGCCACTCCAGAACCTTAAGGTGCTTCTTCTTGAGCCACTCCTTTGTTGCCTTGGCCGTGTGTTTTGGGTCATTGTCATGCTGGAATACCCATCCACAACCCATTTTCAATGCCCTGGCTGAGGGAAGGAGGTTCTCACCCAAGATTTGACGGTACATGGCCCCGTCCATGGTCCCTTTGATGCAGTGATGTTGTCCTGTCCCCTTAGCAGAAAAACACCCCCAAAGCATAATGTTTCCACCTCCATGTTTGATGGTGGGGATGGGTGTTCTTGGGGTCATAGGCAGCATTCCTCCTCCTCCAAACACGGCGAGTTGAGTTGATGCCAAAGAGCTCCATTTTGGTCTCATCTGACCACAACACATCTGAATCATTCAGATGTTCATTGGCAAACTTCAGACGGCCCTGTATATGTGCTTTCTTGAGCAGGGGGACCTTGCGGGCGCTGCAGGATTTCAGTCCTTCACGGCGTAGTGTGTTACCAATTGTTTTCTTGGTGACTATGGTCCCAGCTGCCTTGAGATCATTGACAAGATCCTCCCGTGTAGGTCTGGGCTGATTCCTCACCATTCTCATGATCATTGCAACTCCACGAGGTGAGATCTTGCATGGAGCCCCAGGCCGAGGGAGATTGATAGTTATTTTGTGTTTCTTCCATTTGCGAATAATCGCACCAGCTGTTTTCACCTTCTCACCAAGCTGCTTGGCGATGGTCTTGTAGCCCATTCCAACGTTGTGTAGGTCTACAATCTTGTCCCTGACATCCTTGGAGAGCTCTTTGGTCTTGGCCATGGTGGAGAGTTTGGAATCTGATTGATTGATTGCTTCTGTGGACAGGTGTCTTTTATACAGGTAACAAGCTGAGATTAGGAGCACTCCCTTTAAGAGTGTGCTCCTAATCTCAGCTCGTTACCTGTATAAAAGACACCTGGGAGCCAGAAATCTTTCTGATTGAGAGGGGGTCAAATACTTATTTCCCTCATTAAAATGCAAATCAATTTATAACATTTTTGACATGCATTTTTCTGGATTTTTTTGTTGTTATTCTGTCTCTCACTGTTCAAATAAACCTACCATTAAAATTATAGACTGATCATTTCTTTGTCAGTGGGCAAACGTACAAAATCAGCAGGGGATCAAATACTTTTTTCCCTCACTGTATATATGGGACATTTTCAGCTTCCAGGAATTGTGTACAGATCCTTGTGACATTGGGCCGAGCATTATAATGCTGAAACATGAGGTGAATGGCAGGACAATGGGCCTCAGTATCTCATCACGGTATCTCTGTGCATTCAAATTGCCATCGGTTGGATGTACTGCCAATTAGAGAAATGAACCTGTGTAATGATCATGCTGTTTAATCAGCTTCTTGATATGCCACACCTGTCAGGTGGATGGATTATCTTGGTAAAGGTGAAATGCTCACCAACAGGGATGTAAACAAATTTGTGCACAACATTTTAGAGAAATAAGCTTTTTTTGTGCATATGGAACATTTTCAGGGATTTTTTATTTCGGCTAATGAAACATGGGACCAACACTTTACATGTTGGTTTTATATTTTTGTTCAGTGTATATATTAAAACAATATCTAAAGAAATCCTCACACCCCTAGATTACATGCAGTATAAGCAAATCCAATGCAAGTCAGTAAAGACTGGAGACATTTTATAGCCCCGCCTCCTTCCTCAGACAACATGTTCAGATCTTAATAATGTTTGATATATAGATTGTCTGAACAAAAATATAAACGCAACATGCAACAATTTAAACGATTTTTCTGAGTTACAGTTCATATATGGAAATCAGTCAATTGAAATTCATTCATTATGCCCTAATCTATGGATTTCACGACTGGGGACTACAGATATGCATCTGTTGGTCACAGATACACTACATGACCAAAAGTATGTGAACACCGGCTCATCGAACATCTCATTCCAAAATCATGGGCATTAATATGGAGTTGGTCCCCTCCCTTTGCTGCTATAACAGCCTCCACTCTTCTGGGAGGCTTTCCACTAGATGTTGGAACATTGCTGCGGGGACTTGCTTCCATTCAGCCACAAGAGCATTAGTGAGGTCAGGCACTGATGTTGGGCGATTAGGCCTGGCTCGCAGTCGGCGTTCCAATTCATCCCAAAGGTGTTATATGGGGTTGAGGTCAGGGCTCTGTGCAGGCCAGTCAAGTTCTTCCACACCAATCTCAACAAACCATTTCTGTATGGACCTTGCTTTGTGCACAGGGGCATTGTCTGAAACAGGAAAGGGCCCTCCCTAAGCTATTGCCACGAAGTTGGAAGCACAGGATCATCTAGAATGTCATTGTATGCTGTAGCGTTAAGATTGACCTTCACTGGAACTAAGGGGCCTAGCCTGAACCATGAAAAACAGTCCCAGACCATTATTCCTCCTCCACCAAACTTTACAGTTGGAACTATGCATTGGGGCAGGTAGCGTTCTCATGGCATCCGCCAAACCCAGATTCGTTGAGCATGGTGAAACCCATTTCATGAAGCTCCCGACGAACAGTTCTTGCGCTGACGTTGCTTCCAGAGGCAGTTTGGAACTCGGAAGTGAGTGTTGCAACCGAGGAAAGACGATTTTTACGCGCTACACGCTTCAGCACTCGGTTTCCCGTTCTGTGGCTGAGCCGTTGTTGCTCCTAGATGTTTCCACTTCACAATAACAGCACTTACAGTTGACCGGGGCAGCTCTAGCAGGGCAGACATTTGACGAACTGACTTGTTGGAAAGGTGGCATCCTATGACGGTGCCACGTTGAAAGTCACCGAGCTCTTCAGGAAGGCCATTCTACTGCCAATGTTTGTCTATGGAGATTGCATGGCGGTGTGCTCCATTTTAGACACCTGTCAGCAACGGGTTTGGCTGAAATAGAATCCACTAATATGAAGGGGTGTCCACCTGCTTTTGTATATATAGTGTACCATAACAAAAAAAGGTAGGGCTGTGGATCAGAAAACCAGTCCGTATCTGGGGTGACCACCATTTGCCTCATGCAGCGCGACACATCTCCTTCACATAGAGTTGATCAGGCCTTTGATTGAGGCCTGTGGAATGTTGTGATCCTCTGTAGCTCAGCTGGTAGAGCACGGCGCTTGTAACGCCAAGGTAGTGGGTTCGATCTCCGGGACCACCCATACACAAAAATATATGCACGCATGACTGTAAGTTGCTTTGGATAAAAGCGTCTGCTAAATGGCTTATTATTATTATTATTATTATTATTATTATTATTATTATTCTCCCACTCCTTTGCAAAGTTGCTGGATATTGGCGGGAACTGGAACGCGCTGTCGCATCCCAAACAGGCTCAATGGGTGAAATGTCTGGTGAGTATGCAGGCCATGGAAGAACTGGGACATTTTCAGCTTCCAGGAATTGTGTACAGATCCTTGCGACATGGGGCCATGCGTTATCATGCTGAAACATGAGGTGATGGAGGTGGATCAATGGCACGACAATGGGCCACAGGATCTCGTCACGGTATCTCTGTGCATTCAAATTTACATTGATAAAAAGCAATTGTGTTCGTTGTCCGTAGCTTATGCTTGCCTATTGCATAACCCCACTGCCACCATGTTCACAATGTTGACGTCAGCAAACCGCTCGCCCACACGACACCATACACGTGGCCTGCGGTTGTGAGGCCGGTTGGACGTACTGCCAAATTCTCTAAAACTATGTTTGAGGTGGATTATGGTAGAGAAATTAACATTACATTCTCTGGCATAAGTTCTGGTGGACATTCCTGCAGCCAGCATTTCAATTGCACTCTCCCTTAAAACTTGAGACATCTGTTGCATTGTGTTGTGTGACAAATCTGCACATTTTAGTGGCCTTTTATTGTCCCCAGCACAAGGTGCACCTGTGTAATGATCATGCTGTTTAATCAGCTTTTTGATATGCCACACCTGTCAGGTGGATGGATTATCTTGACAAAGGAGAAATGCTCACTAACAGGGATGTAAACAAAATTGTGCACAACATTTGAGGGAAATAAGCTTTTTGTGCATATGGACCATTTCTGGGATTTTTTATTTCAGGTCTGGGAACAACACTTTACATGTTGTGTTGTTTTTATATTTTTGTTCAGTGTATAAATCTAAAAACAATATGTAAATAAATCCACTCTAAATCTCTCTCTCACACACACCCCTAGAGTATATGAAGTATAGAGCACATTCAATGGAGGGATTTTATCCGTTTTTTTAAACATGTTCAAATCTTAAAAATTGTCTGGACCAATATATTCAGTATATAAAAAATAATATCTAAAGAAATCCACACACTCCTAGAGTACATTATACAGTATAAGCAAATCCAATGCAAGTCAATGGAGATGGTCTGCTACAAGTCAATGGAGATGGTCTGCTACAAGTCAATGGAGATGGTCTGCTACAAGTCAATGGAGATGGCCTGCTACTGCATTTCCTCTGTGCTATTTCTCTGTAAACAAATTAACAACAGACTTTCAGCATGCTTATAGGGAAGGGCACTCAACATGTACTGACACAAATGATTCATGATTGGTTGAAATAAATGGATAATAAGAAGATTGTTGGAGCTGTACTGTTAGATTTCAGTGCAGCCTTTGATATTATTGACCATAACCTGTTGTTGAGAAAACGTATGTGTTTAGGCTTTCCAAGCCATATCGTGGATTCAGAGCTATCTATCTAATAGAACTCAAAGTGTTTTCTTTAATGGAAGCTTCTCTAATGTCAAACATGTAAAGTGTGGTGTACCGCAGGGCAGCTCTCTAGGCCCTCTACTTTTCTATTTTTACCAATGACCTGCCACTGGCATTAAACAAAGCATGTGTGTCCATGTATGCTGATGATTCAACCATATACACATCAGCAACCACAGCTAATGAAGTAACTGAAACCCTTAACAAAGAGTTGCAGTCTGTTTTGGAATGGGTGGCCAGTAATAAACTGGTCCTGAAAATCTCTAAAACTAAGAGCATTGTATTTGGTACAAATCATTCCCTAAGTTCTAAACCTCAGCTGAATCTGGTAATGAATGGTGTGGCTGTTGAACAAGTTGAGGAGACTAAATTACTTGGCGTTACCTTAGATTGTAAACTATCATGGTCAAAACATATAGATTCAATGGTTGTAAAGATGGGGAGAGGTCTGTCCGTAATAAAGAGATGCTCTGCTTTTTTGACACCACACTACAAAAAGCAAGTCCTGCAGGCTCTAGTTTAGTCTATTCTTGATTATTCTCCAGTCGTGTGGTCGAGTGCTGCAAGGAAAGACCTAGTTAAGCTGCAGATGGCCCAGAACAGAGCGGCACGTCTTGCTCTTCATTGTAATCAGAGGGCTGATATTAATACTATGCATGCCAGTCTCTCTTGGCTAAGAGTTGAGGAGAGATTGACTGCATCACTTCCTCATTTTATAAGAAACATTAATGTGTTGAAATCCCAAATTGTTTGCATAGTCAACTTACACACAGCACTGACTCATACACTTACCCCACCAGACATGCCACCAGGGCTCTTTTCACAGTCCCCAAATCCAGAACAAATTCAAGAAAGCGTACAGTATTATATAGAGCCATTATTGCATGGAACTCCGTTCCCATCTCATATTGCGCAAATAAACAGCAAACCTGGTTTCAAAAAACAGATAAAGCAACACCTCACGGCACAACGCCTCTCCCCTATTTGACCTAGATAGTTTGTGTGTATGTATTGGTATGTAGGCTACGTGTGCCTTTAAAAAAAACATGTATGTAGTTCTGTCCTTGAGCTGTTCTTGTCTATTAATGTTCTGTGTGGACCCCAGGAAGAGTAGCTGCTGCTTTCACAACAGCTAATGGGGATCCTAATAAAATACCAAATACATAGACACAAACACCCTCTTTCTCTCCCTGTCTCACTAGCACACGTGGACACACACATACTAACGATTTGGGGAAGTGGTAAAAGAGGATGATAGCAGTGCCGTCTATGTTGATGATTGTGAGGCTGAGGCGCTAATACAAATTCGACAGTCACAAGGCGGGACTTTAAAGAGGCCTATGGCATGTCAAGGGAACTGTGTATCCTACTGTTAGATGGGTTGAATGGAAACTGAAATCTGGACATTGACTAACCAAAGTAATACCAGTCCTATGCGAATCGACGTCCCTGTGTTTTGAGAGAAATGTCTGAGTTTTACAGGTGTTGCTCGCGGTTTCAGCAAGAAAACAATAACTGATTTGATCAATTTAATTGAACATCGCCAAATGCGTCATTAGAAAATATTGCGCCTATTTAATTCAATCCTTGCTGTTAATAGATGGCAAAGCAGCATAAAACTGAGCTAAACGTTTGGAACAAGGAGTGGAGAAATATATATATTTTTTTTTCTGCATCTTGAGAGAATACAATGCTCAGTTAGATACGATCTGCAGAGGTGCTGTCTTCATCATAAAAGCTGATAGTATTTCAACCACAAAATGTGCATCGAAGCCGAAACTTAAATCTTATCAGAAACATGTTGGGTTGTTTTCACAGCTTTCTTTTTCCTTACAACCATTTGGACATTTTGCACAGAAAATCTTTCCCGTTTTTTTGTTTTGTTTGTTGCTTAATTGCATTTTCTCCCCGGTCCCTAAAGGTCTTTGCTCTGCGAAAGATGACAGAGAAATCTATCGATTTACAACATTATTCTGGTGATCAAGGGTTTATTGAGTCTCCTAAGGCAACATATAATGACAGAAGAGAAGATGCATGTATCTAATTATAGGCAGGTTGACTAACAAATAGTCTACCAAAATGTCGGAAATTTAAAGCAGAAACATATCTATATCAGGCAAAACAAAATCCTGCACCCTGTCAAATAATCGTTCTGCAGTCTTTCACTGTAGCCTATACACACATTTTCTATATTAGCGGGTTAAGGTTGGGTGCGGGCCTCAGATTTTCACTTCATCACATATAGTCGGGCGGTTAAGGTAAGGGTTATTAGCAATTGCGGGCGGATGCGGGTTAACAAAACAGCTGACCCACGCACCACTAACACACATAGAGGCTAACACACTTAGAGGCTGCTGCCCCATGTACATAGACTAGAAATCACTTGCCACTTGAATAATGTTTACATACTGCTTTACTCATCTCATATGTATATACTGTATTCTATTCTACTGTATTTTAGTCAATGCCACTCCGACATTGCTCATCCTAATATTTATAATATTGATATATTCCTTAATTCCATTATTTTACTTTTAGATTTGTGTGTATTGTTGTGAATTGTTAGATATTACTGCACTGTTGGAGCTAGAAACACAAGCATTTCGCTACACCCGCAATAACATCTGCTAAACATGTGTATGTGACAAATACAATTTGATTTGATTTGATACCACACGTATGTATGTGTGTGTGTGTGTGTGTGAGAGAGAAATAATTGTTTTCATATACACTGCATATAGAAAACATTAAGATCACCTGCTCTTTCCATGACAGACTGACCAGGTGAATCCAGGTCAAAGCTATGATCCCTTATTGATGTCACTTGTTAAATCAACTCAATATTAGGAAGGTGTTTGGTATACTCAGTGTGTGTAGAGTAAATAGAGCCTGATATATTGATAAGTCACATTTTCCAAGAGAGATTTACACGGTTATCAAAACGTCACGCCAGGGTAAGCCTACACAAAACACAGCCCTTATTTTAAGTGTTTCTAAAATCCCCTATGGGAAAAATGAATGGTGGAAAAAATGATTGGAACCGTTTCCTTGTTTGACCGCTAGGTTTTATGGGTATTATGACTCATACTGTGGTTCCAGATCCTTCAGAGTCCTTGGTCCTCGCTTTTGGACTCTCCTCTTCAGCTCATTCCACAGGTTTTCAATGGGGTTTAGGTCAAGGGACTGGGATGGCCATGGCAAACGCTTGATTCTATGGTCAGTGAACCATTTTCATGTGAATTTGGAGGTATGCTTTGGATCGTTGTCCTGCTGGAAGATCCAACGACGACCCAGTTTTAGCCTCCCAGCCGAGGCAGACAGGTTTTGGCCTAAACTCTCCTGGTGCTTGATGGAGTCCATGATGCCATGTATCCTGACAAGGTTCCCAGGGGTGGAAGTAAAACAGCCCCACAACATCACAGATCCACCACCACACTTCACAGATCCACCACCACACTTCACAGATCCACTACCACACTTCACAGATCCACCACCATACTTCACAGATCCACCACCACACTTCACAGATCCACCACCACACTTCACAGATCCACCACCACACTTCACAGATCCACCACCACACTTCACAGATCCACCACCATACTTCACAGATCCACCACCATAATTCACAGTGGGGATTAGGTAATTTTCTGCAAGCTCTATTTTAGTCTCATCAGACCATAGAACCTGGTTCCAATCAAAGTTCCAATGACATTTAGCAAACTCTAGGCATTTACGTAGGTGGTTTGGTGACAGCAGAGGTTTTTTCTGGCAACCCTTCCAAGTAACTTGTTGACATGGAGTTGGCATCTAATTGTAGTTTTGGAGACTTTGTGGCCCCAAGATGCAATTCTTCAACTGTCACAGTTCTGGTTGTTTTACATTTCTTAATTATTGCCCATAATAGTGGAGATGGGTATTTTCATGAGTGTAGCTATCTTTTTATTGCCGTTGCCTGATTTGTGAAAGTCAACAACCTTTTGTCTAATTTCATTTGTGTCTTCTCTGGCCTTTCCAATGTTGATGGATGACTAAGGGAGTTTAGCCTGTGTGCCACCTCATATTTATACCCCAGTGAAACAGGAAGTAATGGAAGACCACTTAAAAGTTCCCAAAGACTCAGATGAACTTTAAAAAGTAAAATCTGGTATTTTATTAGGAATATACAGTGAGGGAAAAAAGTATTTGATCCCCTGCTGATTTTGTACGTTTGCCCACTGACAAAGACATGATCAGTCTATAATTTTAATGTTAGGTTTATTTGAACAGTGAGAGACAGAATAACAACAAAACAATCCAGAAAAACGCATGTCAAAAATGTTATAAATTGATTTGCATTTTAATGAGGGAAATAAGTATTTGACCCCTCTGCAAAACATGACTTAGTACTTGGTGGCAAAACCCTTGTTGGAAATCAGAGGTCAGACGTTTCTTGTAGTTTGCTACCAGGTTTGCACACATCTCAGGAGGGATTTTGTCCCACTCCTCTTTGCAAATCTTCTCCAAGTCATTAAGGTTTCGAGGGTGGCGTTTGGCAACTCGAACCTTCAGCTCCCTCCACAGATTTTCTATGGGATTAAGGTCTGGAGACTGGCTAGGCCACTCCAGGACCTTAATGTGCTTCTTCTTGAGCCACTCCTTTGTTGCCTTGGCCGTGTGTTTTGGGTCATTGTCATGCTGGAATACCCATCCACGACCCATTTTCAATGCCCTGGCTGAGGGAAGGAGGTTCTCACCCAAGATTTGACGGTACATGGCCCTGTCCATCGTCCCTTTGATACAGTGAAGTTGTCCTGTCCCCTTAGCAGAAAAACACCCCAGAAGCATAATGTTTCCACCTCCATGTTTGACGGTGGGGATGGTGTTCTTGGGGTCATAGGCAGCATTCCTCCTCCTCCAAACACGGCGAGTTGAGTTGATGCCAAAGAGCTCGATTTTGGTCTCATCTGACCACAACACTTTCACCCAGTTCTCCTCTGAATCATTCAGATGTTCATTGGCAAACTTCAGACGGGCCTGTATATGTGCTTCCTTGAGCAGGGGGACCTTGCGGGCGCTGCAGGATTTCAGTCCTGTTTTCTTGGTGACTATGGTCCCAGCTGCCTTGAGATCATTGACAAGATCCTCCCGTGTAGTTCTGGGCTGATTCCTCACCATTCTCATGATCATTGCAACTCCACGAGGTGAGATCTTGCATGGAGCCCCAGGCCGAGGGAGATTGACAGTTATTTTGTGTTTCTTCCATTTGCAAATAATCGCACCAACTGTTGTCACCTTCTCACCAAGCTGCTTGGCGATGGTCTTGTAGCCCATTCCAGCCTTGTGTACGTCTACAATATTGTCCCTAACATCCTTGGAGAGCTCTTTGGTCTTGGCCATGGTGGAGAGTTTGGAATCTGATTGATTGATTGCTTCTGTGGACAGGTGTCTTTTATACAGGTAACAAGCTGAGATTAGGAGCACTCCCTTTAAGAGTGTGCTCCTAATCTCAGCTCGTTACCTGTATAAATGACACCTGGGAGACAGAAATCTTTCTGTTTCAGAGGGGGTCAAACACTTATTTCCCTCATTAAAATGCAAATCAATTTATAACATTTTTGACATGCGTTTTTCTGGAATCTTTTGTTGTTATTCTGTCTCTCACTGTTCAAATAAACCTACCATTACAATTATAGACTGATCATGTCTTTGTCAGTGGGCAAACGTACAAAATCAGCAGGGGATCAAATACTTTTTTCCCTCACTGTACATCAATTCGATTTTGTTCTTGAGAATTTCTAGGGGTACCAATAATTGTGAATACATTTGTTATTTCTTGATGATTATTTAATTTTTATTCAAACAATTTTAAGTCAATTAAAGGTTCGATTCATATGATATTTGGAGTGTAAGATCATGCTGATAAACCACATTTTTTTCACAGCCTTTTGTTCATATTTACCCATAATTCAGAAGGGCACTGATGAAACCACATGTCAATGTGTCCTGTCTAGAACCTTGTACTAACTATGTTGACACCATATGTCAATGTGTCCTGTCTAGATCCTTGTACTATGTTGACATCCCATGTCAATGTGTCCTGTCTAGAACCTTGTACTAACTATGTTGACACCACATGTCAATGTGTCCTGTCTAGATCCTTGTACTATGTTGACACCACATGTCAATGTGTCCTGTCTAGAACATTGTACTAACTATGTTGACACCACATGTCAATGTGTCCTGTCTAGAACATTGTACTAACTATGTTGACACCACATGTCAATGTGTCCTGTCTAGAACATTGTACTATGTTGACACCACATGTCAATGTGTCCTGTCTAGAACCTTGTACTATGTTGACACCACATGTCAATGTGTCCTGTCTAGAACCTTGTACTAACTATGTTGACACCACATGTCAATGTGTCCTGTCTAGAACAGTGTACTATGTTGACATCCCATGTCAATGTGTCCTGTCTAGAACCTTGTACTATCTATGTTGACACCACATGTCAATGTGTCCTGTCTAGAACCTTGTACTATGTTGACACCATATGTCAATGTGTCCTGTCTAGAACCTTGTACTATGTTGACACCATATGTCAGTGTGTCCTGTCTAGAACCTTGTACTAACTATGTTGACATCCCATGTCAGTGTGTCCTGTCTAGAACCTTGTACTAACTATGTTGACACCACATGTCATGCATTTACACCAAACAGAATTGATTCAGTGGAGCATTTTTATATTGTACTAAATATAGTACAAGGACTTGAATGGGTTAAATACATTTCCATTTATGTAACTCTTCCCCAGGTGTAACAGCGATTATACTTACCTGATAAAATAAGGGTGAATAAATCGATTTGACTTCAATCCCAACAGGTAATATGGATAGAACCATCTATTTTATCAACCAGTCTTTAAAATGGTTGCCTAACAGGTTGCTGAAGTGGACAACTGCATTATCTATGAACAGAAGGGGAATACGGTTCCTCTGTTAAATTGATTTGGACATGTTCTGCAGCAGAGAAATAGATAGAGACAAGGCAGATACAGCAGCAGGGAATAGACAGGACAGCCCTACTGACAGACAGGATAGAGACAGCCCTACTGACAGACAGGATAGAGACAGCCCTACTGACAGACAGGATAGAGACAGCCCTACTGACAGACAGGATAGAGACAGCCCTACTGACAGACCGGATAGAGACAAGCCCCTACTGACAGACAGGATAGAGACATCCTACTGACAGACAGGATAGAGACAGCCTATGACAGACAGGGTAGAGACAGCCCTAGAGTCAGACAGGATAGAGACAGCCCTACTGACAGACAGGACAGCCCTACTGATAGACAGGACAGCCCTACTGATAGACAGGATAGAGACAGCCCTACTGACAGACAGGATAGAGACAGCCCTACTGACAGACAGGATAGAGACAGCCCTACTGACAGACAGGATAGAGACAGCCCTAGAGACAGGACAGGACAGCCCTACTGACAGACAGGATAGAGACAGCCCTACTGACAGACAGGATAGAGACAGCCCTACTGACAGACAGGATAGAGACAGCCCTACTGATCAGACAGGATAGAGACAGCCCTACTGACAGACAGGATAGAGACAGCCCTACGTGACAGACAGGATAGAGACAGCCCTAGGACAGACATGAGATAGAGACAGCCCTACTGACAGACAGGATAGAGACAGCCCTACTGACAGACAGGATAGAGACAGCCCTAGTGACAGACAGGATAGAGACAGACCTACTGACAGACAGGATAGAGACAGCCCTACTGACAGACAGGATAGAGACAGCCCTACTGACAGACAGGATAGAGACAGCCCTAGAGACAGCCCTACTGACAGACAGGGTAGAGACAGCCCTACTGACAGACAGGATAGAGACAGCCCTACTGACAGACAGGATAGAGACAGCCCTACTGACAGACAGGATAGAGACAGCCCTACTGACAGACAGGATAAAGAGACAGCCCTAATGACAGACAGGATAGAGACAGCCCTACTGATAGACAGGACAGCCCTACTGACAGACAGGATAGAGACAGCCCTACTGACAGACAGGATAGAGACAGCCCTACTGACAGACAGGATAGAGACAGCCCTACTGACAGACAGGATAGAGACAGCCTTACTGACAGACAGGACAGCCCTACTGACAGACAGGATAGAGACAGCCCTACTGAGAGACAGTTTAGACAGCCCTATGACAGACAGGATAGAGACAGCCCTACTGACAGACAGGATAGAGTCAGCCCTACTGAGAGACAGGATAGAGACAGCCCTCTACTGACAGGACAGGATAGAGGACAGCCCTACTGACAGACAGGATAGAGGACAGCCCTACTGACAGACAGGATAGAGACAGCCCTAGTGACAGACAGGATAGAGACAGCCCTACTGACAGACAGGATAGAGACAGCCCTACTGACAGACAGGACAGCCCTACTGATAGACAGGATAGAGACAGCCCTACTGACAGACAGGAAGAGACAGCCTACTGACAGACAGGATAGAGACAGCCGCCCTACTGACAGACAGGATAGAGACAGCCCTACTGACAGACAGGATAGAGACAGCCCTACTGACAGACAGGATAGAGACAGCCCTAATGACAGACAGGATAGAGACAGCCCTAGTGACAGACAGACAGCAGACTAGCAGACGAGGATTAGGCTAGGTGGTCGCTCACAACAGCCTAATAACAGGATGACATCTAGCCACTAGGGCCTGTCTGAGGAAAAATATGTTTGTGTCACCGATGGGGATTTGTAACTTCACTCCTCAGCGTGATATGTCTCCACCCGTGCCATCGAATTGCTAGCTTTTTGGTGGCGTAGCTGGCTAAGATGTTGTCAAGGGGGCAGCCACGTGTGTTTGCAAGATAGAGGTCCCGCGATCCAGCCTCTGTGTGAGAGAGATGGTGAGGGATAGAGGTCCCGCGATCCAGTCTCTGTGTGAGAGAGATGGTGAGGGATAGAGGTCCCGCGATCCAGTCTCTGTGTGAGAGAGATGGTGAGGGATAGAGGGTCCCGCGATCCAGTCCTCTGTGTGAGAGAGATGGTGAGGGATAGAGGTCCCGCGATCCAGCCTCTGTGTGAGAGAGATGGTGAGGGATAGAGGTCCCGCGATCCAGCCTCTGTGTGAGAGAGATGGTGAGGGATAGAGGTCCCGCGATCCAGTCTCTGTGTGAGAGAGATGGTGAGGGATAGAGGTCCCGCGATCCAGCCTCTGTGTGAGAGAGATGGTGAGGGAATAAGAAGCAGTACGACGTCCAGTTACAGTAGCCAGACTGTGTTTATTAATGACATATGACTCTCGCTGTCAGGATCACCTGTCAACCAAAGAAAGAGACACACTGATTGCTGGATCCATGAGGAAATGAGGTTGCAGATAATTATTTTTACTGTTTGACTGACCGGCCAGTTAGTCATCTGATTGATGGATCACTGACATGTAATCAATGTAGCAGGTGGTTCAAGTTTCAAGTTTTAATGTCACGTGCAGAAGTAAAGTGAAATGCCTTTTTTGCCAGCTCCAAACCCTACAACCAGAGAGAACAGTCTATGGCTTGGGTGGCTGGAGTCTTTCACAGCTCCAAACCCTACAACCAGAGAGAACAGTCTATGGCTTGGGTGGCTGGAGTCTTTCACATTTTTCCGGGCCTTCCTTTCACACCGCCTGATATAGAGGTCCTGGATGGCAGGGAGCTCTGATATAGAGGTCCTGGATGGCAGGGAGCTCTGATATAGAGGTCCTGGAGGGTAGGGAGCTCTGAAATAGAGGTTCTGGATGGCAGGGAGCTCTGATATAGAGGTTCTGGATGGGAGGGAGCTCGGCCCCAGTGATGTACTGGTCTGTCTGCACCAACCTCTGTAGCGCCATCCGATAGAGGGCGGTGCTGTTGCCATACCAGGCAGTGATGCAGCCAGTCAAGATGCTCTCAATGGTACAGATGTAGAACTTTTTGAGGATCTGAGGGTCCATGGCAAACCTTTTCAACCTCCAGAGGGGGGAAGAGGCGCTGTCACGCCTTCTTCACGACTGTGCACGTGTGTGTGGACCATTTTAAGTCCTTTGTCATTTTGCCACCAAAGAACTTGAAGCTCTCGACCCGCTCCACTGCAGACCCTTCGATGTGGATGGAGGCGTGCTGTGTTCCTTTCCTTTTCTCCTTCCCTTTCTGTCATTCAGCTCTTTATCAGGATATATTTTCTCAGCTCTTTATCAGGATATATTTTCTCAGCTCTTTATCAGGATATATTTTCTCAGCTCTTGTTTTCTGATGTGCATGAAAATCACGCCCGTTTGCTTTACCACTGAACATCATCCACTTCAGCATATGCCTCAAATCTATTTTTTTTTTGTATTTAAAAAACAATTATTTTTATTTATTTTTATTTTTTTTATTCGTGGGGGAATGGATCAGCTTAATATTGCAGATAGATTGTATCTTCTATTAATGTAATTGTCTGCATCACTTCCAATCCCCCATGTTTTATATATATATATATACACTCCCCTTTATTACTTTTCAACCCCGCCATCCTTTCCCTACTTGGGGTAAATTAGTGAACAACAATGCCCAGGCCTCTACTTCCGGTCTATACTTACTATCTACACCTTATGGACACAGTTAATTTTACAATAATTCTATTATATATATATATATATATATATTTTTTTTTTTTTTGCTCCTGAACTTCTTCTACTCTCAACCTCTCCGATCATTTTCATGATGTCCATCCGGTTTGCTTCTATATGCCATATCTTTCTAACTGTGCTCTTTCCCAAAAGCTCCCAACATACAACCTATATACTTATTATGGACACAGTATGCTTACATTATTAGCTATCTTTGTTATTATTTGTTGTATGCCTCAATTCTTAGTATCTTAGGAAATTCTTTACAAAGACACCTTTATTTTTTCTTCCAGAACCCTATCAGTATTTTTACTCAGCACTGGTTTTTGTAAAGTTTAGGATACGCGTACCACACTCGTTTACGTTATGTTGATGGACATCAACCACAGTACAAACCTCGATGCTAAAAATGTAACACGTCTCTTTTTCTGTTTTCCAGAACCACTCGGCATCGATGACTGAGGTCACATGACTAGCGGGGACCGCGGTGGGTCAGCACCGGGTCACCTTTGCGTCTCCTCAACACAACTTCTAGGCACAATGATGTTTTTCTACTGTCATAATACAACTGTAAGAAAGGACAGTATTCTGGTGTAACTAGTTAGATAGAGGCCGACGATTTGTACATTTTGTATAAGAGAGTACATGCTGTAGACTACCTAACCCTGAGCATGTTGCTACTGTAGGTCTGAACTAGGGTTGCAAAATTCAGGTAACTTTCCAAAAATGTCCAGGTTTTCCACAAAATAGAAGATTCCCGGGAATCAGGGGTGAATAAGCAGGAAATTCAGGAATCCTTCTACCGGGATTTCTGGAAAGCCTGGGAATGTTGGGAAAATTACCAGACTGTTTCATCCCTTAGTCTGATCTGCGTCTGGACTTCCTCCTCTCTCTCTCTCTCTCTCTCTCTGTCTCTCTCTCTCTCTCTCTCTCTCTGTCTCTCTCTCTCTCTCTCTGTCTCTCCTCTCTCTCTCTCCGCTCTCTCTTCTCTCTGTCTCTCTCTCTCTCTTCTCGCTCTCTGTCTCTCCTCTCTCTCTGTCTCTCTCTCTCTCTCTCTCTCTCTGTCTCTCTCTCTCTCTCTCTCTCTCTCTGTCTCTGTCTCTCTCTCTCTAGACATGTTTTACATCACAAAGGAAATATAATATACAGT